CCAAGCTATAAAAGAGCCCCAGTTAAAATACTTCAAACTCAATACATCCAGTACATTTAATCTATTTCTGTCCTGAAGAAAAATTGCCCTTCAGAAACATTATTATATAAGAAATGAAGTGCCTTATGCAGTGGTTTGGTTTAGGGTTTTCTTCTCATTTTTTATGAAAGATTAAGTCTATGTGATTGTAATTGCTGACACTAGCTTGCATAGGTAGATTCTTCTGGTAAATTAAAAGAAATATTTTTTTGTCAAGTAAGTAAAATGCTGGCACTTTATGTGTTTATGTCTATAGTTGAAAGATTTCAATATTTCCAAAATTACTAGTGATACACAAGTCAAATGTAATTTTTACTTTGTTTCAATTATAAAAGCAATACATTTATTTCATATGAACTAAAAGGTCCATTAAACACCAGATATTGTTTGATACCTAATCAAAATGGTATAGCCAAGTAGCAACAGTAAAATGACTGTGAGGATGACAAATTTGTTTTTCATCTTTGGTACATTTTTCCAAGACGTGTTATGCATTGGGTTTTTTTTCCAACGTTTTCTTTTATTTGTTTGTATACATAAATCCTCACATTCTAAAATTACAACTATGCCTTTCCTAAATTAATAACAAAGATAATTACCTTAATAAAATGAAAAACACTTAACTAAAGTATTTTTCAGTTTGTGAGATTTTTCTGAACAGAGTGATTGAATGTAAATGAAAAAGATGGAGAAACAACTAACAAGTAGAAAAACAATGTACAGAAAATTACTGAGATCTGAACTGGACAGAAAAAAACAAGATCCTAAGCATGACCTGCTGCTACTGATTGTGGCACAAATGTTATCTTACAATTACTCATGAGAAGATAACCAACTTGTAACAATTTACTTTCTAGGAGTTAATTGCAAGAGTTTCTCAAAGTAACTGTGATATGTTACTGGATATGACATGTGAGTGGATTTCTTATCTTCATGAGAGCCCAAGAATTCTTACTAAAAGCCAGGTTTGACATTTACGATCTGCTGGGACCCCATCATCTGGTGAGGGAAACACAGAGAACGAGCCACTGACACCCACAGTTAGTCAAAATTGTTTCTTGCTCAATATTATTACCCAGTGATGACTCTAACACCAGCAAAATCAAAGTTATAGTGTTGTAATTTCTCATATCTAAAATCAGAAAACATTATTACTGCAAAATCAGATGAAAATGAAACTAATTAACAGACTCTGAGCTAAAACGCTGCAAAGAGAGCCTATCATTACAGTTCTTCCTTTTCAGTACTCTTCCCAGTCATTACAGACACCAGTCCAGATGAAGGTGATCACAGGTCTCATTAACTAACTACATTGCCAAATTAATCTTCAGTTGTCATCAGGAATATAATAAACCTGCTCATTTGATTTTTATAGCCTTGAGACCCTCTTGAAAAGAGGCCCTAGTGTAATCATACTTACCAGCAGGACCAGTTTGCATAGTTCAAACTTAATGATGTAAGATCTCTTGTGATTCAAAAGAGACGGAAAACCATGTGTATAAAATATGAAGGTGATTTTCTTCTTTGTGGAAGAAGGAAAGCAGAAAGCACTGAACTGATTTCACATAGGATTTGTAGAAATTCTCATTTGAAATAAAATATGATGGGTTAAATTGTTGTATTAGTTGCCCTGAGTTTCTCCCCATTCACTTGCCAATTACTGCCACTTCTCATTCCTACACTATTTCATGTATTTTCAACTGTTTTTGGGTGCTAAGCAGTATATGAAAAGAGCAGATTCTGTTAGCACCATGTGATTATCTAGGTCTTCAAGGGCTGCAACCATATGCATTACATACCACTAGCAACAAAGAGCTATGCTCTGAAAACAGATCTGTCTGAAACTGATATTTTCTTTTATCACTAGTGCTTATTTCACGTGAGGTGTGCAGATAATCCATTTTTAACATGTAACACATCACAAGTTCCTATATTACTTTCATATTGCCTGTTCATGCCAATAAAATGGCAGCAGAGGCACTTTGTCTCTCATCTTCAGGGACTTTGGGGTATTTGCAAACTATATTGATTCCAGCTGGAGTTGTAGGTGTTCACCACTCTTCCTGCAGCTCCATCAGTGCTGGCAACAATGGGAGTTCTAATGCAGACAAGCTGTTTGTCTTTTTATGACCAGTGTTTACTATACAGCAGTAAATCCGTGTGGTGAAGTAGAGCAGCTGCCAGGACTTTCTGCATGCTCAGGCTGATGTCACCGCTAGCTCGTGTTAGTCTAACAGTGGGAAATTCTGCTAAAAGGCTCGTTGTAGACATGCTTTTCAGTACTGTACCTCTGCTCAATAGATCATTCATGAGCACCCAGCCCCCTCTCCAGAGATCATATAGAGCTGAGTCGTGAGCAGGAAGGGTTGGAGACAAGGCCGAGTTTCTTACTCACAGCTCAGGCTTGGAGCTGTTTTATTGTCGTCATGGCTACAGGCCCCACATACCTCCAGTCCCTGCTTTATGAGAAGAATGATGCAGTGTCTAGCCTTACAGCTGAATATATAAACCAAATTAGTCTACCATGCCTCTACCTGTTTTGCAGCTCACAATGAAAGAAGTAATGTATCAAGCAATCAGTCTTGTAGCAGTTATATTCTGTAAACACTAAGTCATTACACCCAGACTTTTTTATTTGCTCTTTAGAGCCCCTTCTCAGTATAATAAACTGCAGATTTCAATAAGAAAGCTAATTCAGAATAGTCCTCTGTGATTTCTCAGAGTTTCTGTAACATACAAGTTAAAAAGTGCATTTCAAATCCCCTTTCACACTCCATTTTTGCATAATCCCACTCAGTAAACAAAACACAAAAAGACAATGACGAATGTCTTTTCCAAAGCTGCAGTACCAGGGTATTACTAGAATCAAACTATGCCTAATATAAGTAATAAAGTAGAGTTATACAGTCCTGCAGGGAACCATTAATTCTTCCTGAATAAAGTAAGAGCCTCATATGGTCCCATCTCTACCTAGGAGATTAAATAATCCCTGAATGTCATTGAGGCAGGGCAGAGAGGGAAGATGTGCCCTGTGATACTGCTGCTGCCAGTGTCCTTCAGAGGAGGGGAAAGGAAGGAAAGAAAACTTTGAAAGTGTGGTCTCCATCAAAAGATAAATATATAAGAGGGGGTAAATGGGTATCAGAATAAAAATGTGCAAATCTCAGCATATGACGTTGTAGCCTGCATAATAAGGATTTGGAAAAAACAGTGGCAAGAGGAAAAAGAACTAGAATGAGGGGTAGAGAAAGTGTAAATTGCCTTTAATTTCCATCTCATTATACATTCTTCTTTTTTCCTAGCTTGTAAATTCCACTAGTTTTGATTCTCTCCATGCTCATCTAGACTGTACATGTCAGTAAGTGGAGAAATGTGGTTCACCATCATTTTATATTCTATCTCTGTGTTCAGCAAAGTGGGCCTTATCCTCACTTACCTCCAAAATTCCATTAAAGTATTTTGGCAGTGTGGGATGTAACTGACGTTTATAGCCAGGGAAGTGTAAAGGGATCTCAATGCAAATAAAGAACAGAAGAAAATGCTATGGTTTTATGGATCTGAAGTATTTCTTAAAAAAACAAATAAAGACAGCTTTATTATCTATCAAGGAAGGAACAATGTAAAAATGCATAAATTGAATGTAGTCCACTAAATTAAATTCGCCCTGGCTACAGCAAATTGAATGAATTGATTGGACTCATCAATATATTACCAGTATTTCATGCTACACAAAATCTCCCATGCTGATGTCTTCTATTTCTTGCTGTTGTAGAGAGAATCGAAAATACTGGAAGTGTGTCCAAAATAATATACCTGGGTATTATAGAATACTATAAGATATACTATAGAATACTATAGAATGCTATAAGTCTCAACAAGGCTGCTACATGCTCTGCCATTGCTCACATGACAAGTTTTAATGACTTGGACATTTCAGAAAACATCAAGATTGAAAAAGCAAAGTAAAACTCAAAGAATGTTTTTGCTGTAATTGTTATTAATGTAATTATTATTGCTCTAAAGCAATAATTGATATGAAAGAAAAAATATTTTAATTTTTTTGTTTACTTTTTGATAAGTTTTGGTTACAAAAATTGTTTTAAAAAAATAATCACTCAAGGAAGCACATTAAACTATTTGATGGGCATGCGCAGTTGCAGCACATCTGCTTTTTTAAAAGAGATGCCTACAGCACTGAAAGAAGATAAAAAGCCAATGGGAAAATATGTTACTGCCATGATTTATATTTCTATGAGTTTTTGAAAAGATATTCATATTATCTCTATGGAATATAGATACTGACACCTTTACAGCAATAAAAATAAATATTTTTTTAAAAATACTTATTAAGTGGATAATTCCACATTTTGCTTGGAGAGACACATTTAGTTCATACATTTTTAACCAGTGTTTTGTGTGTCATAGGGCTGGGAACTACATAATACTTTCTGTAGGCCCTCCAAAAGACAAGAAAGACCACGTATATTTTAATCAGTGCATTTTATTATTATTCAAATGATATGAATGATATGAAACTTCTATTTTTCTCACTTTGTCAAATCTTGTTTACACAAAATGTTTGGTATTGGGGAAAATATGAGCAAACATGGCCCAGTGCAAAAGCTCCTATCTATAGGAGGTATGAATCCTTTTCTTTTGGCCTTGGAGCAGGAAATGGTTTAGACCCTTAAACAGGTAGTGAGCTTCCTGTTAAAGTGTCTCTTCTTTTGAATATTTTTGTTTATTTATTTAAGATTTGTTATTGTAATTTCATGCTGCAGAAGAAATTATAGTAACACATATATTAATTATAGTAAATTTCAGTAAAATGTATTTGTCATCTAAATTTAATATAAATAGGAAAGTGCAAGACTAAGTAACAAATGAGACAAATGCATAAATAATTTATTTTACTGTTGCATTTATAAAAATATTTATAATGCATATGTTGTATAGGGCAACATAATGTGAAAGCAGGATGGCAATTAAGTTTCAGACACATTTAATCTGTGTTGTAAAGATTAAGTGAAACAAATCCTTTGAAATTCTTTACATTACCTTTATTTTGAGAGCTTTTTCTTGCAGTGAATTACATTTTTCCTTTCTTTTACCAAAATGATTGAGGTATGACATAGGTACAGAAAAGAAAGGACTTTCTAAGAAAAACTATACAAATAACTGCTAATGACTTTCCTAGTCTGTAAGTTTTAAAAGCAGTTAAGACATTTAGGTCATGTATTCTAACCTCCAGTATTCACATCCTCCCATTCACAACCATTTTTCCCAAATAGCTTATATTACAGCCAACAAATCGAGTCAAACAAAAACATTTCATCTTTTGAGGGCTGAAACAACTGCTTTCTCTCAGCAGTGAACAGGAAAGACCCAGGTTCCACCACAGCCTGAGGCTTCTTGAGTAGCAAGGAGCTCATTAAGTAAGAAATGTTCCAAGGATCTGAAAGAGATGAATCATAACCCATGACAAGGAAAATCATAAGTAAATAAACAACCTCTTCTCATTGACAAACACAGAACAATGAAACAACAATAACAAAAACCTAGTCCAGTCTGATCTGCAGAAAAGGGAATGTATTTTTGGTCTGACCTGTCTGAGCTCTGGTGTATGGACGAATACCAACCCTGGTCATACAATTAAGATTCTTTGTACCTTTTTGAATCTTAACCTGATGTATATTGAACTGCCCATTTACGGTATGAACTGTCCATTTACTGCAGCTTCAAACTAAAATCTAGCCAAACAAAGAAATTCAAAAATACATCTGTCACTTTTAAAGCCAAATTAAAAGTGATTAATTCGCTCTTGCATATAAGTGCCTGAAATAATCAGGCATGTTGTGTTTGACCATAGCCATTGCCATGTTTTTTCTGAGTCCAATGCAAAATGTATTGTATGCAAATGGATTATAAAGTATGTTCTTTTTTTTTCTAGAGGAACGGAAAATAGGAAAGACTTCCCAAAATGGAGAATAAAATGTCAACATCAAGAAAACAGTTGTGATGACATGACTCATCTGCCATTTCTGATTTCCTCACTCATAGATTTTCTCATATGCTGCCTTTCTGCAGGTATCTCTGCATTTAACTGCTGTTATGAAAGCACCTTCCTTTATAATTTAGTTTGCCTGGTTTGAGATACATTCACTAGAATTTTTAACACTTTTCTTCTCATTCAGTATCAAAGTTTTCTTCAGTATCACTTGAACATAGGGGATGTCTTCTATAAAGAAAGAAATTAACAGAAAATGAGCTCCTTTTAACTTACAAGCTTTATACTCTCAAGTTCATCTTCAGGACTGATTGAAAATTTTAATATATGTGCATTCTTTTCAGGAATAGATGATAGCACTGATATGCTAATCTAGTATAACAGTGCTATTTACAAAAATAATATTGCTTGTCTTTTTCCATCTTGTGTCTTGGTTATCTCTTAAATAACTAAGATTCACATGGATTCTTTTTCCCACAGTCTTTCATTCATAATTTGCTAGTATCAAAAGATATTAATTTCTCTGAATATTCAAATGTTATGTGCTTCATTGCTTTCCAAGACAGTTTTCTGTCCTCCTTATTCTTACCTTTACTCTTGGTTTTCAGCTATTCTATGTTGCATTTGGCTACTGAGAAAAGCCTTTGTTTGAAGGACACGCACTTAAATGATACATAGAAATTTGTAATCATAACTTGATCTCCCTCCTCTTTATTTCTTCTCCAAGCTCTTTTGCACCTACAAAGCTTGCCATGAATAATGTTATCACCTTCTTGATAACCAAAAAAGTGCTGCATGACCTTTACAGCAAATTAATTTGAATCCAAATGGATATCACCATTTACAGTACAGGGTGATGTATAACTTCTGATTCTTGATCACATTTGTATAAATCTGGCATAACTTCAAAGATATCAGTATGAAAGTAAAATTTGCCACCAAGAATGTAAAAGAGCCTAATTGTACATAGAACCATAAAATCCTAGAACCAGAGAATGTTAATAGGCCTTAAAGAATGTTTAGTCTTACTGACCTCTGCTATAGCCAGGGACGCCTCCACTAGACTAAGTTGCTCAAGGCTGTATAAATCTTGGCCTACGAACACTCCCAGGGATGGGCCATCTGCAGTTCCTCTGGGCAGATGTCCCAGTGCCTCACCACCCTAACTGTAAAGAATTTCTTCTGTATTTCTTGCCTAATTTTGCCCTGTTGCAGTTTGAGCCCATTACTCCTTGTGCTATCACTGCAATTCATGATGAGGAGTCTCTGTCTGGCTTCCATGTAGGCCCCTTCAGACACTGAAAGGTTGCTCTGAGGTTTCCATACAGCCTTCTCTTCTCCAGGCTGAACAGCCCCAACTTTCTCAGCCTCTCTTTGTAGGGGAGGTGCTCTTTTCCAACTTGGTGGCCCTGCTCAGGACTCACTCCAACAGTTCCATGTTCCTCTTCTCTTGGGGGCACTACAGCTGGGGACCCAGGTCCCTGGCCATGGTCTTTTTCATGTAGCCAGGATTTTATGGGCTGCTAGCACACACTGCCAGCTCATGTTGAGTTTTTCATCAATCATCATTCCCAGGTCCTTCTCCACAGTCCTGCAGGTGTGTCTGGGACTGCCACATCCCAGATACAGGACCTTGCACTTTGCTTTGCTGAACTTCACACAGAAACTATATAAATAACTATGTAAACAAATATTTAAGTCTTGAGATTCAGAAACTGTAAGGGAACTGCAGTGAGGGAAAAGAAGGCAAAACCATGAAGTTTATTTAGGATCTCAGTGCCATATTTTACCTGAATTTCACAGAAAGGATTATTATCTCAAATATTCTGAATACACACTCATCCTGGAGATCCTCACATTTTTTCATAGGTTATTTTTCAAAAATCATCACCTGGATTTGCCATAGTAAGATCCTCTTTGTGGTCGTAGAGAAAATTATTGCAAAATTGTGCTAAAATGTATTTCATACACAGCCTATGCTGTTTGGTTTTGCTTATTTTAGAAATGTTTATGTATATTTCATCTCTTCAAAAAGGGATTGTGAAGATTTGATGAATGTGCTTTGAGCCAAATTATCTCCTGGTAGAATGTAACGTTGCCTAGGTTTCCTGGGAATACACCACAGGAACAGATGAAGATAATGTGTTTGCATATTATGTGATAATGAATATTCTGACTGATGTACTGACCCCAAGGTATACTGGAGCATCTGTTAGTTTATTTAGGCATGACTCATCATTCTTATTTTTAAGATATTTAAGTGGCTGAACATATTTCTCCTTAAAGACTATAGAACTGGGAAAAAAAATAACAAGCACGTGGGATTATGTACTGGTGATGACATGGAACATGCATCCGGGTGAGAGATGTACTATCACTGTTCACTGCCTTAGGAATTTAGGGTCTTTTTTGGGGAAGATGTTAGCCTGGCTTGTGTTGATTATACAAAGCAATGACAACACATTAAGAGCAAGTGTTGTAGCTGTGAAGCCTTACTCATTACAGCACATATTTAAAAACAAGGTTGATAGATCACCAGTAAAATACAGTACAATATGGGATAGCATCCTCTCTATCAGATCAAGCCTTAAAATCTGGTTTCTAATGATTTTCCAAAACAGTGGACATCAAAAAAGATTATCTGCAATATGAAATAAAAACATGGTAAAAGATTCTGCTCTGTGTTATACGGAAGCTAAAACTAAGGGACATAATGGTCCTCTTTCATTTGAAAGTACAGAATGTCTAAATCATTTAGGACTGCAAATCTACTCACTATACTATAGATAAATACAATGTTGGATCAAAGAAGCAGTATATGTGACAGTGTGAATTGTTTCTTCTTATGCTGTGAATGACTCTAAATGTAAACATAGTATTACACAAGCATCACGTTATCATCTGATTCTGATTTCTGAATACTAGTGCCCTCAAAACTTTTCACCCACTAGCAGGAAGAGATTGAGTTTTCTATGTTAACCCAGTGTTATTTAAGTCTGGTTTTTCTGGACTTTAGCAAAGCCCTTCAAAATTAACTTTAGGAAAACTGCAGGCACACTGGCTGTGCTAATTATTTTATTTTTCCTGCTAGTTTTATCATTGTCAAACAGACATTATCTTTAAAGATCTCCAGTGATGAAGATTAATTGAACAGTACTGGTCCCAGTAAAGACCCCCCCAAGGACACCACTCAACAATGATTTCCATCCAGACATTGAGTCGTGACCATTCAGCTAATTCCTTACCCACCAAAGAGTCCATCCATCAAATCCAATATCTCTCCAATTTAGAGAGAATGATATTATTGGATACACTGATCATGTCACAGACCTTACAGCAGCCTAGATAGGTGACACCCTTAGCTCTTCCCTTGCCCACTAAGGTACTCACAGTTGCTTCCAGCCTCCAGCTGACACACATTTTTGCCCAAAGACAGCATATGGGCCTGGACCTGAGCTCCTCACACTATCTGTGCTGGGCTATAGTCATTTCCACTGCAATTCTTCAGATGTGTTAGGGCTTTGAGAGGCGATCACGGGTGAATCTACTTTCTGTGGTTGAAGGTGTTACTGTTCTTGGTTGCTAGTTCCACACCTTTTTTATCAGCAGTTTTTCAGCAGGAACACTTCTGTAACATATCTGGCAGGTGAGGATGTGTCTGTGTCAACTATTCTTTGAATGTATATGCTGAACCAACATTTTGCTTTTAAATGAGCAAGACAGTGTTTAGGTAAAAAAGCTCCCCATCATCACAAAAACTGTTTCACAAAAAAATCTGTGCAAAGTTTTAGAAACAATCTTTTCAGCGGAATGTACATACTAATTAATTTCCTAACTCCATCTAACCTGCAATGTATCCTAAAAAGTTCAGTTGGCCTCCCATGCTCTAATAAAAATGATCTGATTGATGTTGCTTCTCAGTGATCCTCTCTTTCATCCTACCTTTTATTTAGCAGTTATATCCATTTTCATTCTCTGTTCTATAGCCTTTATCCCGATATTTTGGAAAACTTATAGTATATTCAGATAGGTGTAGTTTTTATTTCCTTTTTATGATGTCAGTTAATAAGAGATACTAAGGAAAGACTACAAGATAAACAGGAACATACAGTGATTTTTATCTCAGGGAGGATAAAAATCCCTTTACAAGGACAGTGGTTTACACTTAGCTTCTCTAAAACTTCATTCACACATTAGCTGTTAAAAGTTCTCTTGATACTTGCTCACAAACTTCTCTCATTCCTTCCATGGTACTCAAAGTAGCCCCAGGCATTGTCAGTTGATTGCAGGCAGCTGATCTCCACAGCTAAGAGAGGAAGCTGAGAAAGATGTTCTCAGAGCCCTTGCAAATAATGTGTGTATGGAGAGAGAGAGCAATAAACTCCAAAGAGTCTGGGGTAGTAAAGACTACTCTGGAAGCTGGAGATAATGAAGAACTGTGAGCAGGA